GATTAAATACACTGTCCATAGCTATAATTGAATATATTTATTAAATTTAATTCTCACAAGTCATCATTTCCTATAACCTATTCCTTTAATTTTAAAAACGAAAGAGATACAATGCAATCAATGCAAAATTTTTCACAAAAATTTTATTTTAGCAACAAAGCTAAAAAAAAAGAAATCTGCGCGAGGCACAGAGTTATTAGAGGAAAAATTGATTGGAAAAAGACGGAACGAGAAACAGGGATTAAGCCATATCCGGAAAAGACCGACGAATGTGCGTAGGTGTACATGTGCGCCGTAGGTGGTGGAGGTTCACCAGGCAAGTACGGAACGACCGTGAGGGGGATAAACGAAACTGGGTCACCCCTGGGAACCGAAGAGCCTGGAGCTCATGTCCGGGAACATGACTGGTCAAAGAGAGGAGAAGAGAGAAGAGAAAGAAAGAGAGAAAGAGAGAGAGAGAGAGAGAGAAAGAATATACCTGGCAATGTACATCGAGTATTTCGGAAACGGAAGTCGGCGCACGCACTGCTATTTACAAAAAGCCGTTCGCTGGAAAATTGCAATAGCGACGAGATCGATTCATGAATTATGCATTACACGTTCCTGACTTATCAATCGGGATGAAAGAATTTTGAAAGGAGTGAAAAGCTGAAGGAATATTGCGATTACATCGAGGGGGAATTGAATGAATTGAATGGGGGAGAAAACATGGGCCTATTGAATTCACTTGTAAATCGAAATGATGATAAATAATGTTATAGTAATTTGGTCCGTTGTTTCATTAGGAATAAAATATAATTCAGATAATATTGAAAATGTAGAAAATAATATATATATCGACATGTTTGATTACTTCATTTATAATAATTTGTTGTTATACAGATTAATCCAAGACAAATGATATTATTCGTGCAAGTTATTCCTCTATACGATATGAAGAATACTATTGTTAGATTGAAAAAATAACTTTAATTACGCTGCTTTATGAAAAAGTAATGAAACTCTTACACCATTATTATTATAGGAGCAATAAAATGAAAGACTAATTTTCAGAAAATTTATAAATATTTGATATGCATATTTAATGTTTAACTAATTATTTTCTACATTTTTCAATTCACCGTATGTAGGTAAAAGATAAAACGTTCTGACACATAGAACATAGAGAATTTATATTTCGAAGATACGAGATGTGTTCGCAAGTAAACAAGCAAACAGACTTCGTATAATTAATAACGAATCAGCCATAATGATTCGTCGGGAGGAAATATTAGAAGAAAGACCGAGTAATATTAACTCTCTTGACACACGAACATATTTATAAAACATATGAATCACTGTGCGTATTTGCATAGAGAGAGGAAAAGATTCGAGAAATGTCGATATCATCGACGCTAGTTGACCTAGATCACTAGAACGAAAAAACACGATTCGATTACAATTGACCCATGAACAACATGGATGTTAAGAACGCCAATTCTTAAAATTAAAATTTTTGATTTTCTTTAAAAAAAATTGTAAATGTATAATAATTTATGATATCGATCAAAAACTTTATTTTATACATATATTGTATATATTTATATATTAAATTAGAAGAAAAATTATGCTAATAATAAAATGATAAAAATCATCAATTAAATATAACAACAGTGATCCCTTATAAAACATTTTATGAGTTGCATCCCATTATTCTATAATGAGAAAATTATAACTCCGCTAAATTAATTATATTTAAAGAAAATAACAAAACTATTTTCACATCGCTTTTAAAAATTTTTATTCAAAAATGTTGGATACCTTTCTTTCGAAATCTAATTTCTATTTTATAATAAAATTTATTAAAGATCTAAATGCTATGGATAACATGTATCTATGACAGAATTAGAGACCCTAGTCAGATGTAGAATTGTAGGAACAAAGCAGAGGCTGGAGAACCATACCGTTCGGAATATGGGGGATTAATGTAACATAATCGAATAACTCGAACCACTGTTTCGTCCCCTTCTGCGCTCGCTATGTGACGTCAACGAGTAACTCAAGCTCATATATACGCGCTCTCTGCATCTATCACTCTATATCTATAGAATGACTCTCGAGTTACACACACCGCGAAGAGAAATTCCCTAAATGAGACAATAACATTAATAATGGGAACGAGCCATTGAAGATTCAGAGTGACCGTATTTTAGCGTGATGAATATAGGACGAAAAATGGATCTTTTTTATATATAATAATTTTGAAAGAAAAAATATAAGAGCAGTATATAAATAATGATATTGGTTTATATAATTTTATTTTTTGCAAATAATTCTTTATAATTTTTTTTAACTGATGTCTTTATTTAATTTCTTTTAATTTCTGACCTAAATTTGGATACTTTTATAAGATAAAATATAATACTAAAATAATAATAATGAAATTTTAAATCATTGCAATGAAGACTTTGAATTACAAATTAATATCAAAGATAATAAATTTTTCTATATGATAATAAAGAGTTTGAGAATAAAAGAAGTGAACAAGTAAATTTTTACAAAAATTAAAAATTTATTGATAATAAAATTTTAAAATTGTAAAAATTTGAGATATTTATAATTTATCATTTAATTTCACTATAACAAATATTATTAGTTATCAAATTATTGTGAAAGAAAAAGCTATTTAATATTTAAGGTACTTTATATTTTCATTATTTATTTAAATCATTTAATTATATATTAAATATAATGGTTTTTGTAAAAAAAAAAAAAAAAGAGATCGAATATAATATCAAAAATTTTAATTGAAATTTTATTTCACGCATGAAAAAATATTTTTATAATTTTTTTTTAAATTAATATACTTATTCTTTATACATGGTAGCTGTGAAAAATTATGCAAGCTAAAAATGTGATCAGCTGTTGTTAAGTGGTCGAGATTGCATAATGCTTGCATTACGTGACGATGCATTGCCTTCCTCTTTCCGCTCTTCCAAACAGTCTATATGCAATGTACATAGTGCTTCTAGAGTACAAGGCTACGAGTTGACCACTGACGTACGAAATATTAGTGCATTTAAAACATCTCTATTCTTATTATTTTATTTCTAAATTTATCTCTCAATTTATTTGCAAGTTGCAAATAATATATTCAGCACTGAACAAATTTCTTTAACTTACACATTTATTTTATGTATTAATAATTTTCATATAAAATATCTTTATTGTATGTATTTTATATAATTTATTACGAAATATTTTTCAAAATTTCTATTTATTTCATATTTAATACAAAACTAAAAATTCTCATAAAACTTAAAAAACTTAAAAAAAAAAATAATTAAAATAAAGTAAAAAATTTTCAGAAAATAATTATTTTTTTATTAATTGCTTTCCTTTCGTTCCAATTATTCCGAAAATTTTCATCATCTTTTTTCTATTATTTTTTCAAATTCAAAAATCAATGCACTGTTAATTTCACCGTTTGGATCATTTAATAAATTTATGTACGCTCCTGCATAGGAAAAACTCATCGATAACATATAAAAGACGAACGTGCTCATTAGACGGAATGAAAACGTTTCTTCCTGCCAAAAAGACATGCTGCAATTCTCGTCGTCCCAACGCGCATCTTATGTAATTTCTTTCCCCACATCCCCCTTGACCACCCTTTTTCACGAGCCGCAACGCGACGTTTTTACAGTGTTCGTCGCACTCCCTCTTTGCCGCGCTCGCGCGAGTTTTCTCGGAATGCAACTTTGAATGACGTGGCGGTTAAATTTTCCGCCAAGTTGCGCGGATATATTTACAACATCGAATATATTCACTTTGATTCTCTATTCTATATGCATATATACTGAAAAATCCGCTAGATCTATACACAGCACCGTTCAAAAATTTTAAGATATTCGTTACGTTTCTTCAAAAATTAGAATAAAATTGTTAATAAGTTAAATTGTTAAGGATAAGAATTAATTGATATCAATTTTATATGATAATGAAGAAAATTTTATAAAATATTATAAAAATACATGGGAATAAAATTAATAATTTTTTTATATGTCCTCAGAATTTTGAAATTTATGTATATATAGCGACTTTACTTCGATGTATATCGAACATAATTGATAGATGCGACACATAATGAAATCGTAAATTAAAATAACTGCGATAATGAGTGATACGATAGTTGTAATCGAATATACTACATAGAAATATAAATATACCTTGAAAGTCAGGCTATAAAATTCATTTGCGAATTTATGACTTGAAAAATATTTGTTTTATTTATTTTGGATATGGATTTTTATTCATTTTTAATTAAAAGATTTTAAAAATATTTAAATATATGAATTACGTATATATGAATTATGTATTTTTAATTTGTATTTTTACATAAATAGTAATATATTATTATACATGTAGACTTTAAATATTCTAAAAAAAATGAATACTTTATTTCCATTATAAATATCAAATTATTGTTTCAAATCATATTTAATGCCTAATTATTATCTTGATATTTTTGGGGATTCATGAATTCAATGATTTGTAAATCGATCCTGTGTTTTATAGATAGACTAGAATTGTAGTAGGATATATACAATGCATTAAAACCTTTTAGGTGCAGAAACCTTGAATTTAGAATAGTCTACCTAAAGTTGTGATACTGTTGATCTTGTTTGTTAAAATATATACGTGTTTCTTATAAAATGAAATAAATCTCATGAAATAAATTTTATTGGATAAATTTTTATGCAATAGAAGAATTAAAATTTGCTCAATTTTTCTCAATTTTGGATCTATTTGTATTATAAAAAGCATCAGAAAAAATCTATAATAACATTTTAAGATCAGAAAATTTTGATTCAATTCAAAAACAATTATTACTTGACAAACATAATCTATTTTAGTTGATTGTCATAAGCTGATCACAGACAGAGAAACTGAGAGTTCATTAAGATTTAATCAGAATAACGCGAAGCAATTATTCCAATTACACTATCGTGATATAATTATTAAAACAGTGAATGTACATATACTATATACGTGCGTTACTGCTTGCATTGTAGATAACAGAAACTATGGTATACATCGTCAATGCATTATTTCCAGCGCAGAATTTTCAATGCATCAGTAAAAGATAACGCTTAATTATCGAAGCATTGAATAGTACTTTTCACATCATGAGGCTATTGTTCCACCATGAATGATAAGTCCTTCAAGTCACTCGGATTTCTATTTTTAATCATCCTAAACGATGAATACTTAATTATTAGAGATTAAATTTATTTCAATGATAAATATGTATTTTTTTATTAAGAATATTTAATCATAACAATGGAAATGATGATGTCAAAACAGTACTAATAATTAACACATCTAATGAATGCATAATAAAATAATAAAATCTTTAATGTGATTTCTAATTATATGAACTTTTTGCAAGAAAAATTTATTAAGTTTTTTATTTTCTAACTAAGAAAAATAATTAAATTTCAATTCAAATAAATTTTCCAATCGTTAAAATTTAATTATAAATTTTAACTATCAATTAAATTAAATGAATAATCAAAGTAGTTTAAAAGGCAATTGATTTAAGAAAAATTAATTTTGAAAAAAAGGGAAATGAAAAGAAATAAAGAAAATTGAAATAATTGATTCAGAATTCTAATCGTAAGATAGCGCCCTCTAAGTCTTCGAAGTCAGGAAAGTCTCCTGCTGAGAAGTTGAAGGAATCAGCTGATTGGTCACCCGAGAGTCAGCTGATTTTGACAGCCCGGCCGACCTTGTGCGCATCCTGGCGTGTCGCGCACCATGGACTACTTCAAATATACGATCTATGGCGTTTGCGCATGCGCACTTACGAAATAAACCAAAACTTTTATGAATTTTTGAAATTAATTGCATTTTGAATAAAATCGTTATTTTGGTTACGATTTTCATATTTCAATTTTTCATTTCTTAAAATAGTAAATATTTAATTTATTAAATATTTTTTATCTGAAACTTATTTTTTTATCTGAACTTGAGATTTCAATTAAAAAGAAATACGTCGTACTGGAAATCACTTTCATCTTTAGAAACACACCAATACTATGATAACATCGAGTATACTTATACGTTGTTTGGCGAAATAGAGGATTAATTGTATCCATTTGAGGGTTTCTAGTGACCCCGATCAATAATTCATTTCCCACCTGTCACGCCCCTATTTAATAGACTGATGATATCATATAGCGACGTATCGCAATGAATTTGGATTTAAAACCAGTTGTATTATAAAATATCCGAATAATTCTAATTCTTTGCTTATCTATAACTATATTGTTCTACTGCTTATCGAATAAGTAATATCGATATATAATCTATATGATAATGTAAATATTTAAACCACTTTTATAATTCATAATATCAAATTACTTAAAACGAGAATAGCATTTATTATAACTTGAAATTCATAAATTTCTAAATACAGACTAATTATATAATTTTATAAATACTAAATAGAATTTTATATTTTTTTCCTTAATATTTTTTATGATTTTATTATTATTTTATCACATTTTTCTTCCATAAAATCATCATAGGAAATCAGCAGGTAAATCAATGGGTTGCTAACGCCCTCAGAAAACTGAGATACCACCAGCTGTGTTCACCCGCTTCATTACCCACCGAGTGAACGCAGAGTGGCTCCCTGTTCTCCGAGAGCCCGTTTCACCATTTCCGTTTCGCTTTTACCGACCGAACGGGTTAAATGATAATTGTATCTTTTATGGATTGTCTTTCCTCGATGCTTTTTAAAAATAAGATTCGAGGGAATTCGTTTCCTATTAATGTTCAGTTCCTATTCATCATTATATCAATAATATTCATATTATTCCAGTATTCTGTCATCAATTAAATATATGAATATATCAAAATTCATTCCTTTCTTTATAAATAATTTTCTCATAAGAATTACACATTTTATTTCTGCCGAAATAATATCAAAAAAAAAAACTTGAAAAATTCTAAATAAATAAATATTTGATACATATAAAAAAAAAATATGGCAAAAAATAAAATTGATTTTTTGGGAATTTATTTTTAAAAATTCGAAAATAAATATTGAATACGATAAAAATCTGGCAATAATAAGTAAATATGTATAAAAATTATGAACAAATCACTGCATACAACAATGAGATGTAAAAAATGAGGAAAAACTTTACAATATCGAATAATTGTAAATTCAATTCTAAATTGTCATAAATTGATCAAATGCTATTATTTTCGAAGATAAAACAAGTATTTTAATTTTTCATCAACAAAAAAATAACTTTTTTCGATTCTTAACCAAACTTTTGTCATTAAAATATTATTATCATTAATATTTTATCTAAAAAATTTTAATATAATATTTAAATTCAAAGTTCAATTATTTAATTTTCATATATCAACTTATTTGATTTTTTATATAAACAATTCCTGTTCATTTTTCTCGTGTTCAATAAACTTTAAAAGAAAAAAAATATAAATAATTAAAATGAAAAAATACAGGATAAATATAAATATGCACTTAATATAATAAAATAATTATATATAATCTTTATAAATGATTTAAAATTTCTTTAAGCATAATATCGCAGATTTGCTTATCTTATCGAACGTCAGCTACGCTGCATTCTTCTATTCATAGCGATATAGAAATTAATTTCAAACACATATACAAAAGCGGATAGAGTTCGCGCGCACAATTTACGATGGGACCGGTACCGATCAGACATCAAAGTGGCTTTTGCAGCATATATATTGCAGTAGTAAACTTTCAAGGTTAAACGATAAGTTAATTAAATCAGGGTTATCACGGAACAGTATCTTCCACGATACAGCTTTCATCTAACAGTCCGGTCAAGAATTGTTATTTATAAATATAGCCAGACAAAATAGAATGTAATTATATATTCATTAAAAATTAATATTTTAAATTTACAATATTATATATATTCGCAAAATTCCAAGAATCGTACATTTCATTATTGCAAAATAATTTGTCATTATATTTCCTTAATAATTTTTATGTTTTGATATAAATTAGTTGTTAAGATATAAGTTAGTTATTAAACGCTTATGCTTTTTAATGCAATAGATGCGATAGATATAGTATTAATGCATTTTTTATTATTTTTTTTTTTTTTTTTTACATTACCGAAAAACGCTTTATGGTTTTCGGTAGTTTCAAAACTCTCTTAGAACTTCATTGAGCACTGGAAGCGAGCCAATCAGAGATCACAGGAAAAAGAGGGCACGTTTACGCACGTTGACGCGTGTGAATGACGTCACGCATGTGACGTATACATGCGTGATGTACGCATGATACGCCAAGAGATTACAGTGGACCGTAATAGAATAAAGTAGCGATACTGATTTAACATATTCAATTTTTTTATATTTTTTAGTATTTTTAATCAAATTAAATAATCAATCAATTATTATCTAATAATATATTTTTAATTGTATTTTCAGTTTATTATTCAATTTAACATAATTCATAAAATTATTACTTAAAAATGTTTGATATTTTATTCTATTAAGTATCACTGAGATATTAATTAAAAAAAAATCAAATTTTATGAAAAAAGTAATCACTTACAGTCTACTGCTGGGTTCATTGCTTGCTTCATCACCTTCAATTCGATAAACCATACCGGACATCACATATTCAAAACTGTCTGCTCTGGAACCGCCTTCCTGTTCTGTCGCGTTCCACTCCCCTCCATCAGGATAACCGTCCTCTCTCAAAGTTGTAGCCAGTACCAGACGAAATTTATCACCTGTAAAAGAATTCAGAATAATGAAAATTACTCTTCAAAGGATAAATTAGAAAAAAATATAAAAACATTGAAATTTTTTTATCTTTGTTTAAATGTCAATACGAAAAAATCTGCAATGTCGGAACACGGAAATTGATATCTAATAATAAATCTCAAGGCAACTGCATCAAAAATACACTGGGGGCGTTGCAAACGTTTCGTCACGTTTCCAACGAAATTCACGGTTGATTGCATCTAAACCAATAGAATTATCGTATCTTCATTTTGCTATTTTCACCAACTCTTAGATACACATACATGTGCGCACAATGAAAACACAAGAAACAATCAATGTTTTTCTTTTTTATTATAATATTACGTGACACGATACGTCACATTCAAAAAACACGAAAACTGCAATATATCACATCAATTATATGCATTATGCCATTCATTATGCAAAGAATAAAGTAATCCTAAGAAAATTATAAAATTGAGATTATATTATATTAAATTAATAGAAATAAAAATAATCAAACAACATAAAAAATTTTTATAAATATAGTTCCGATTACATAAAATATTGCGCTTCAAAAAGCAATTGAATATATAAAATATACATTGAGAATATATAAAAATAAGTTTGATTCTGAAAACAAATATATATCATAATATTAAATGATTCTTATATTAAACAAATTGTTAAATATTAATACAAGAAAAAGAATGAAAAAAGGAAAAGAAAAAAAATCGAAAAAAAGAAATATAAAATATATAAGAAAAGTTTAACTTATAAATGACATAGAACTATTAGCGATATAGGAAACTAAGAGATTAAATGAAAAAGGCAAATGATATTATATTATCGATACAATTATATTAAACACATTAGCACATTAAAAAGAACCCTATATAGACCTATTCAACTAAAAGATAAAACATTAAGAAACCCTCATATAAGAGTGGTTACCATTCCTGGAGAACAAGGGTCAAGGTTAAAAGTCTATGCTATGTCGATGATACATATAGTATGGTAATCGATATTACCGGCGGTGGCAATGTCGAGGGGAATATAAAGACGAATGAAAACGAAGCTGGAAAAATCTGCATGACCAATTGATCATGTTACGAGACGTATATGGGGTCAGGCTTACATCACGATAATAGCATAACGATTATAGATTATCTAGTTGAATGATACAGGATCATATTATCAGCCCCAGTCATATTAACCAATACGAACCCGGCAAAGGATATGGGCTCGTGTGATTTACAGCATTAACCTTGACACTGACAGCAACACGTATCGTTAATTTGCTCACATTAGAGGGATATATTAACACTTTATATTAAATTTAGACATCCGTAGAATGCAAGCTTTCGAAGTCTAAACTTATTAATTACACTGTGTTATAAATATTTGATTCTATTTGAAACATCAATATGATATATATATATATATATACATATATATAAGAAAAAATATGGCACACAAAATTATGTTGTAATACATTATGAATACATGTTTAAGTAAAATTCTGTTTCACGTAAAAAGAATAAAAGCTAAAAATATTATGTAACACATTCAAAAAACATTAACCACCCCCATGAACTGAGCTTAACATGTTCCGGGGTCTATCGAAAACCGCCATCTTGTCTCACGACGTCAACCACAGACAAGAGAAAGAAAGAACTTAACGATAGTTTATATCCATTCTTCACATGATGCGCATCCGTATTTGTCGCGTAGGACATTCTACTTTGTTCTACATTCCAATATTCACACATTTACACTATGATTTGTCTCAAAATGATTTCAGAACACAGTTACAGTCACAACTTAAGATATTTCTTGAATAACTGCATATGACATTTACATTAACTTCGATTTATTTGCAATATTTCATTTCTTTTTCGATGCTTGTACTCGACACAATCATAACACACATTTTAACTTGGCGTAATTCAACATGTCCGTACGTCGTGTAATGTAGGTTAGTCGCGCGACGCGAAACGAAACTGCGTGTACATGTACAAAATCATGGCACGTAACGCGCATCAGCGAAGAAACCGGTAGAAAAAGCGCGCGCGATACGCGACAGGAAGGTAAATGTGAATACACGATGAAACGACACAACGATGATGACCACGACGATGGATGAGCGATACCAGCAAATAAGCATACGATCAGAGAGAGAACACAGCACACATACACACACACAGCTACTTCTTCTCCCAGCGAACGAGTATCGCGACCGACACGGCTACGAGTCGTGGACGTTTTGACCTTGGCATTGAACTTATGGGAGCTGCCGGGTGAGGTAGGAGAGAGGAGTGAAACACGAGCGAACGGGACGAAGAGAGGGGAGTAGAACGTGGTACGAGCAAAGCCGGGCGCATGGGAGGGAGATTGCGTCATCTCGCGCAAGCCTGTGCGCCGCGCGTCAATACAGCGGGACTGCCTGGCCCTATGGACTAACCTTCGTTCCCCTTCCCAAACGCAATTCTATCTCACTCTATTCTGCACGATCGACAAGCTCCTTCCTGCAAAATCCATCCCGCCTCTTTACTCCTCGCCAACGGTAAACCGGTGATCTCGATTCTTTTTTATAATAGATTTAGATTAGATTATAAATTATATTATGTCTACTAAATTTTTATTTTCTATGAAATATTTGAAATGATTCTGAATATATTTGTAGTTTTTACAATGTTTATTTTTTGGTAAATGATAGGAAGTAGAATAATATTACGAAACGATAAGAGGAAGAGATAAAATCAAACTACGCGATATTAAAACTTGTGGGAGGATAAAGACAGAAGAGAATCTTCAAAGTAGCAAAAACAGGATATGAATCTGTAAACATAGTAAGCAAGCAGGGGTGGATCGACGATGCGGTGTACCCCACCTCTTTCTCCCACCCTTACTATTGGTGGGTGTGACGCACCCACTCCCTCTGCAGCGCCCGAATCAACGAGATACATCCAGAACTGTTCGTGAGACGAGTCAAAATGACGATATTTGAAGGGTGGGGGGTTGGGAGTTTGCTGCAGCGTGACGTGGCCTTGGGCACATTTATGAATCTAATATATCACGAATGCTATTTTTTTCATCTATCTTAACTAACTTTTCTTAACTGAAGATAAGTTTATTCTAATTTAAAAATAATTAAAAAATTGTCTAATAATCTAATTGTTATATACATTTATTATTATACTTTAATAATCAACAAATATTTTTTCTTTATATTCCTGCTTCCATTAATTACGGATTCCATTAGTTACGGATGAATAGCAGTATTATAAACATTAACTAACCAAATGATTTTTAGCATCAATTTATGAAAAAAGTTACGTTGACATAAGTTTTAACAATTTTTTCAAAGATATGAAATTTACAAAGAACAACAATGTTATAGATCCCAATTAAATATGATAGAAAATATTGCTGTTTTCAAAAAGAGATAAAAATATATTGTATCTACATCTTCGAAAACGAATGACTCATGTATCTAAGTTCGTCAGAGAACAGTTCATTGGCACAAAAAAAGGCGATTGAAGTCACCTTGAAAGTTAGACATATATAAGTACATAGTAACCAACAGTAAGTTGCTTTGAGCTGTGCAGAACACGTTTCACCAGTGTCCATTAGCCAAGGTTGTCCTTCGTATGTCTAACCAAGAAGTAGAAGAACCATGAGAATAAAAAAACAAACATGATACAGCACGTGTCTCTATTAGTGAGGAACACGTGTCGCATTTACCAAAGGGTCAAAGATGATGTGTTATGTGTGCGTATATTCATTCTTTCGATATTAATTTCTCATGTTAAAATATTTGCTTTCTATTTACTTTCTAATTTTTATAATTAATTTATTTCAAAAAATATAATAATAAAAGAATGAAATATAGAAAAATTTCAACGATTCTTATATTTCTTACAATTATAAAGCGATGGTATTCGAAATTTGCTCAAGAAGAAAAATAGAAATTCCTAAATATCATAGCAATTGTCAAATTTATCATTTTTTTGCCTACTTTTTGAACATATATGATATATCTTATATGATATATCTCATATATGATATATCTTATTCTACGTTTCGAAATTCGCGATTTCCTATATATATCGGTCTTCGAAATTAAAATAGACAAATGTAACGGAGAATGTCGCATAATATAATCCTATGCGAAGTAACAATCAAATATATTTTATCCTCATTTATTTATCAAATATTTGATCTATGTCTAGATATTAACAATTATTGCTGATCGTTTTCATTATTGATATCATTTCTATTTCGATTAAAATTAAACCATGGATAAAAAAAACAACGTATTAAATTATGTTTCTCTTATTTAAAATGATGTCATTACAAATTTTTTATTTATTACATGAACTAATGATAAGCTTAAGTTATCAACTATATAGATATAATTCAACTTTATCATAATATTATTATAAATATGATTCATATTAACAAATATTATATTAATCGTAATATTATATTAATCGTAATCGTAACAATAATGTACTATTCGTCCAGGTAAGTGAAATTGCAGAGAGGAAACGAAGAATCTTTACGTCTGAGCATACTATTGACAGTAGTAGAATTTTTGTAAACTATAATACACATTTTGTCAATAGTTAACATTGCTTATATAATTAATTTATACTAATATGTATCATAAATCATCATTCTGTTTTGTGTCACACTTGATTCTTTATCAAGTGATTGTAAAGAATCAAGTGTAAATATGACCATTTCAAAATTACGAAAATATATGTAATGTAAAATAGAGATATTAGATAGGCATATTTTTTTTACTTGTAATCTTTTTTGTGGATGGATAGTATATCTACTAAGTAATGTATATCCAAAATATCTAACAAAGATAATGAAAATTTTAAACCGTATGTTGAATTATAAGAAATAATAAACTACATATTTATTTTGTAGCATTTCCAGATCGTAACTGTATAGAACAAGTGTATACACACGAAGTTGCGAGCCGCGCGCGATGTAAACAAACGCCCAAGACCCTGACAGCGCCTCTGCACTATAGCAAACAAAATTTTCATGCACGCTAAGTTATCCCTTCATCAGACATTGTTTAATTACATTTTCCTTTCGACAACATTGTCAAGTGAAAATTACAATTTAAATCTTATTATAAGAAGACAAGTCAAAAAATAACATTCATTAAAACGATTCGATGTAAAATTTTGAAAAATCTTTACCTTCTATCGTATTATTAAAATTTTTAATTCAGATAAATTCAAATCTATATGATTTTATGTAAAATTAAAATTACGTAAAATAAATTCTTATCTATCAGAGAATTATAAGTGTTTTATTTGATACGATATGAAGTTGCTTTATTAGATTAAAATTATTAAATTTAAAAAAAATTAAATTATATCTACATACGAGCAAAGTCCTTACCACATATATTTTCAATAAAAACTTTATAATTTCATTAAAGTTATTGAAATTATCTAAAGGAATATTAATTATTTTTGAAATTATTAATAAAATTATTAATATTTAATCTATTATTGATAATATCCATAATTATTCTTAAATTAATATATATTTTAATATATAAAAAAATCATTGAAGAACACTCACCAAGTTCCATAGGATACAGCCAGCTGTTGATGTCCAGGATTAAGTCCATTTTGAAGGACTCGGATTCGCAATGGAGCCTGCTCACTGTAACCACCACCCATCATCATCGATCGCCATCCAGTCAAGGAAAAAACCGAAAAAAAGAAATAAAAAAAGAATTGTCATCGCTAGGTATTACGCGCATATAACATATATTATCAATACACGCAACAAATCAAGCAACAAATTTTATACATAAGAGACGCGGAATCCAATTAATTCTAACGAGAGGAAATATTCGTTATATTATGTCGCGTAAAAAAAAAAAAAGGTAAAACATCA